AAGCCAAGTTTTCCTGAATTAATATATTTTTTATAATTTTTTTCTTATGAAATGATAAAGCTACCCTTTTCTTACGTATGAGGTAAAAAAAAATTTATTGGAGTTAAAATTAACGTAGATATATGACCAAACCTAACCAACCCTACCTAACCTAACCTAACCTATCTTTATAGGTTAGGTTAGGTTAGGTAGCCGAAAAAGTTAGGTTAGGTTAGGTTAGGTGGGTTAGGTAGTCTAAAAATAATTAATTCATGAAAACTTGGCTTATTAGGCAAATCGGGCCTTGCATAGTAGGCTGAGAAGTGCGTTCTGGCTACTAGGTACGACATATATATATATATATATATATATATATATATATATATGTCGTACCTAATAGCCAGAACGCATTTCTCAGCCTACTATTCAAGGCCCGATTTGCCTAATAAGCCAAGTTTTCATGAATTAATGTTTTTTCGTCTACCTAACCTACCTAACCTAACCTAACCTAGCTTTTTTTGGCTACCTAACCTAACCTTACCTATAAATATAGGTTAGGTTAGGTTAGGTCGGGTTGGTTAGGTTCGGTCATATATCTACGTTAATTTTAACTCCAATAAAAAAAAATTGACCTCATACATAGAGAAAAGGGTTGCTTTATCATTTCATAAGAAAAAAATTATAGTAAATATATTAATTCAGGAAAACTTGGCTTATTAGGCAAATCGGGCATTGAATAGTAGGCTGAGAAGTGAGTTCTGGCTACTAGGTACGACATATATATATATATATATATATATATGTATATATGTCGTACCTAATAGCCAGAACGCACGTCTCAGCCTACTATTCAAGGCCCGATTTGCCTAATAAGCCAAGTTTTCATGAATTAATGTTTTTTCGTCTACCTAACCTACCTAACCTAACCTAACCTAGCTTTTTTGGCTACCTAACCTAACCTTACCTATAAATATAGGTTAGGTTAGGTTAGGTAGGGTTGGTTAGGTTCGGTCATATATCTACGTTAATTTTAACTTCAATAAAAAAAATTGACCTCATACATAGAGAAAAGGGTTGCTTTATCATTTCATAAGAAAAAATTATAGTAAATATATTAATTTAGGAAAATTTGGCTTATTAGGCAAATCGGGCCTTGAATAGTTGGCTGAGAAGTGAGTTCTGGCTACTAGGTACGACATATATATATATATATATATATATATATATATATATATATATATATATATATATATATGTCGTACCTAGTAGCCAGAACTCACTTCTCAGCCTACTATTCAAGGCCCGATTTGCCTAATAAGCCAAGTTTTCCTGAATTAATATATTTACTATAATTTTTTTCTTATGAAATGATAAAGCAACCCTTTTCTCTATGTATGAGGTCAATTTTTTTTTATTGGAGTTAAAATTAACGTAGATATATGACCGAACCTAACCAACCCTACCTAACCTAACCTAACCTATATTTATAGGTTAGGTTAGGTTAGGTAGCCAAAAAAAGCTAGGTTAGGTTAGGTTAGGTAGGTTAGGTAGACGAAAAAACATTAATTCATGAAAACTTGGCTTATTAGGCAAATCGGGCCTTGAATAGTAGGCTGAGAAGTGCGTTCTGGCTATTAGGTACGACATATATATATATATATATATATATATATATATATGTCGTACCTAGTAGCCAGAACGCACTTCTCGGCCTACTATGCAAGGCCCGATTTGCCTAATAAGCCAAGTTTTCCAGAATTAACATATTTTCTCAAATTCTTTTCTTATGAAACGAAAAAGCTACCCATTTCATTACGTATGAGGTCAATTTTTTTTTATTCGAGTTAAAAATAACGTAGATATATGACCGAACCTAACCAACCCTACCTAACCTAACCTAACCTATCTTTATAGGTTAGGTTAGGTTAGGTAGCCGAAAAAGTTAGGTCAGGTTAGGTTTGGTAGGTTAGGTAGTCGAAAAACAATTAATTCATGAAAACTTGGCTTATTAGGCAAATTGGGCCTTGCATAGTAGGCATAGAAGTGCGTTCTGGCTACTAGGTACGACATGTGTATATATATATATATATATATATATATATATATATATATATATATATATATATATATATATATATATATATATATATATATATATATATATATATATATATATATATATATATATATACATGTTTCATTGAATGTGACTACATATTCTGTTTTGATTATTTTCTTGTTTAGGGCTTCTATTCCTCTGATTAGTTTTTCAGCATCTTGGTTTAATTGGAAGAGGGGTTTTCCAAAGGTCATCTTCGTTCGTGGTGAAGAAAAAGAAATATGTAACTGTAGAATGCATTATATTTATTATAATATTTACCCAACATTTCGAACCTACATGGTTCATTCTCAAGTGATAAGAAGATACAAGGTGTGTTAGATTTATACCAGTAAGGGGTCAGGTGAAGAAAAGTAGATCTACACACATGGGTCAAGAATAAAGGAAAAGGTAAGGCATAAGAGAAAAAAGGCGAACAAAGGGGACGAAGCATATACTAAGATAAATCATGTATAGTAGGCCTAGTATGTTGAGCAGTGTCTTCTATATTGGCATCTTTACGTTCCCGCCTTGTTCTTACTCTCATCGTGGGAAGAGTGAATAGTTCCGTAATTTAGGTATTTATGGTAGGTTATTTTTTTTTATTTGGATTCCTTCAAGAATTTGTAATCTTCTTACATCCTTGGTTTTGTCTATTATGCATTTTTTTTCAACATTTCTCTTGTTAGGGAGATGTCATGGGTTTGTCTCATGTGATTTTTGGGGACACCTGATTGAAGATGACAGGTCAAACGCCTCGTCAACTTGGTCGACGTCATACCTATGTACGTAGATTGAAGGCTACATCCATCGTGGGGAAGGTGTACATATATACCACGTTTGACTGCTGTAAAGGGTTCTCCGTCGGCTTCGGGCTGTTTTTAATAGGGAGATCGGTAGCTTTTTTGTTTTATAGAATATGATTTGGTCTATGTTTTGGTTAGGAGTTATGCTTTTTACTCCTTTATAGATTATTTCTTTCATTATCCGTTCTTCTTTTTTATGTTCACGACAAGAATAGCCACATCATCCTTCTGGGGTGTGGAGTTTTCAGTTGCATATTGGCTTGAGGACCATTCAAGCTCGTTCGCATTTGTGTTGCTCACGTGGACCCACAAAGTGAGGTGATTCGATTAAATATCTATGCCCAAGCCTCCTGCTTCAGAGCCTATTGGCACGAACATAATAAGAACATAAGAATAAAGGTAACTGCAGAAGGCCTACTGACCCATACGAGGCAGCTCCTGTTTCTAATCACCAAATCCCACTCAATGTTCCTGTAACAACGTTCTAGATCCCTGTCAGTTGGTAGGTCTGCACAACTGAGGTTCTCTTTGTGCTGGACACCCAGCTGTAGCCAGACTTCTCCTGATGATGTCACTGACTGCTTCATGTCTGGTAATCTTTCCCAGTGACTTTCGACAAATGAGACGATGGCTGCCGTTTTGGTTTGTCGACGCATAGCCTCAGATACACCGGCGTTCGGGTGAGATAGGGGCGGCAAAGTGCAAGGCAACACCAATATTAGGTCCCGATCGTCCAGGCGGGTGCCCAAGGCGGAATTAGGGACAGCCAACAGAAAGTCTCCGGCATGGGGAGCTTGCAGAGCTAGGAGATGTGCTTTGTCCTTCTAAGATGCTGTCTCCAGCAATACTGTGGCAATGTTCTCCACTATGGGGCTGTCCCATTTGGCTTGTTTGCAGTTGTTTGCAAAAGTTGGTCGAGAGTGAGGGTTGACAAGATTGTCCCATTGGTCGGGTCCGTCCGTAAATTTGGGATCATGAATCCCAATTAAGTCTCTTCGGTATTTGGACAGTATTTCATTCATTAATTCACCTGTAGTACATGCCGAGGATATGAATGCCGGTAATGCTAACTGTGTCGCCTTGCGAATACCTATACTCTCGAGTCTAACTGGGAGCGTTGCTTGGTCCCATGGGTCATCTTGTAGGAAGAGGTTTAACACTTTCATGGTTATTGATTTTAGGGGTGCGTTATATTTTGTTAATTTTGGACTGTCGAAGGAGGGAGCACACCTTAGGTAATTGGTAAGCCTGAGCAAAGCCAGGCACCGAGGGAGAAGGTACAAAGCATCGTGGGCATCCAAAGCCCCTATTCTTCCCTCCATCCTACTCAGGTCATTCAGCTTTTCTTCAAAGATTACCTCAATGGCGCTCGATCCCAGAGGTGCCCCTAGCAGAAGCACACTGTTAATGGAAGCGATCATTTGTTTTCCTGGCAAGATAGTTCGTACTGCATAAATGATTCGTTGGATAGATGAGACAAAACGAAATGATCAAGAACTTGAACATCTTATGATGTGAGTGCTGCAGACACAGGCAGAGTAAACAACACGACATGATCAAGAACTTGAACATCTTATGATGTGAGTGCTTCAGACGCAGAGTAAACAACACGAAATGATCAAGAACTTGAGCATCTTAAGATGTGAGTGCTGCAGACACAGGCAGAGTAAACAACATGAACGAGGAGGAATGCCCACTGTTTTATTTCGTGCAAACAAGTGTGTTAAAAGATAAAGTAACATAACCATATATAGCATAAGTACTCTATTAATCGTTACTTTAAAAATTACCTTTGTATTTGAAGTCATTCGATTTGGATAGCACAAGAGTTGAAAACAGTTGATTAAGGGGTACGGGCGAATGTAAATATAGCAGGTGATAGTGACGGACCCTTTCACTTTTAGCTGGTGATGGTGACGGACTCTTACACTTGTAGCTGGTGATGGTGACGGACCTGTACACTTGTAGCTGGTGATGGTGACGGACCCTTACACTTGAAGCTGGTGATGGTGACGGACCTGTACACTTGTAGCTGGTGATGGTGACGGACCTGTACACTTGTAGCTGGTGATGGTGACGGACCTGTACACTTGTAGCTGGTGATGGTGACGGACCCTTACACTTGTAGCTGGTGATGGTGACGGACCCTTACATTTGTAGCTTGTGATTTTGAGGGACTTTGAAGACCAGCAGCTCCAGCAGGAAGACCAGACCAGCCCCTCCTACACCTGGACACAAAGTACACAAAGACTGAGCTAGATAATGGTGTCGTGATGGTTTTTTTGATTTACAGAGAGTTGCAAAAGTCCCTTGTGAATATATATATATATATATATATATATATATATATATATATATATATATATATATATATATATATATATATATATATATATATATATATATATATATATGTCGAACCTAGTAGCCAGAACGCACTTCTCAGCCTACTATTCAAGGCCAGATTTGCCTAATAAGCCAAGAGACAAAAATCTGACGCTAAGCCGAGCAAAGTGTGAGTTCAATCAACATAAAATTGAATTCTTTGGACATGTACTTAGTGACAAAGGTCTGTCTCCAGATCCTAAGAAAGTTGCAGATATCAAGAATGCTGCACCTCCTTCAACGTCCACTGAAGTACATAGTTTTCTGGGAATGGCAAACTACTGTTCTCGCTTCATTCCAGATTTTGCTACCATTATGAAGCTTCTACGTGAGCTCCTGAAGAAAAATGCATCATGGTACTGGAGCGATATCGAGCAAAATGCATTTGATGCTGTGAAAGATGCACTAGTAGAGAATGCGATTGCTGCGTACGTTGCTCCATCAATGGACACTGAGTTAACGGTTGATGCTAGTCCTGTTGGTTTAGGTGCTGTTTTTGCCCAACACAAACCTGGTCAACCAGATTCCAGAGTAGTAATTGCCTACGCCAGCCGTTCTCTCACAGATGTTGAGCAACGATACAGTCAGACAGAGAAGGAAGCTCTTGCTCATGTATGGGGCTGTGAATACTTCAATGTGTATCTGCTTGGTGCACCCTTCACCACGATAGTCACTGACCACAAACCGTTGGAGACCATCTTCAATAATCCAAAGTCCAAACCACCAGCTCGCATTGAGAGATGGGCTCTTCGTCTGCAACCATACAACTTTATGGTGAAATACAAGCCGGGTGCAGGCAATCACGCTGATTACATCAGTCGACATCCTGCCAACAGTTTCACCATCACCAAGCATCAACAAGTTGCCGAGGAATATGTACACTCTGTAACCTGTGATGCAGTCCCTAAGGTTCTCACTCTTGATGAAATCCGTACTGCAACCCTAGAGGACCCAACTCTGCAAGCAACAGTGGATGCATTGACTAAGAAAAGGTTTCCACGCATCCCATCCTCAGGAGTTGACCAAGATGCATTCAAAGTACTTGAACGCATCCAGACAGAATTAAGTGTTAAGCAACAACGCGACACCGTGCTGCGAGGTACTCGTATCGTCATTCCAGCTGTTCTCCAGCAACGTGCTCTGAAACTTGCACATCAAGGACACCAAGGTCTTGTTAGGACCAAACAGCTGCTACGAGAAATGGTGTGGTTTCTTGGCACTGATCGTCAAGCAAAGGACATGCATGATGCCTGTGTCCCTTGCCAAGCTGCAGTGGATACTTCAAGACCAACACCTCTACAACCTTCACCACTACCTGCTGCACCATGGAAGGAAGTATCGATGGACTTCTGTGGACCACTACCAACTGGAGAGTACTTGATGGTAGTCATTAATGATCACTCACGTTATCCAGAAGTAGAAATCATCACTTCCACATCTGCAAAGGCTGTCATCCCGAAACTCGACAAGATCTTTTCAAACTTTGGCATTCCTGAAGTTGTCAAGACGGACAATGGACCGCCATTCAATGGACAAGACTTCGTCAACTTTTCTGAGCATATTGGATTCAAACACCGCCGTGTGATGCCACTACATCCTCAAGCAAATGGAGAAGTCGAGAGATTCATGCAACCTCTCATGAAAGCGGTACGCTGTGCTCATGCCGAAGGACGATCCTGGAAAAAGCTATCTATGCTTTTCTTAGGAACTACCGTGCAACACTACATGGAACACTGGGCAAGTCGCCTGGCGAACTTTTATTTGGACGTCCTATGAGAATCGCACTACCTGTCATGCCAGCCGAGGTAACGGATAAACGTCTCGCTCAGAAGGATGCACTAGCCAAGTGCAGAATGAAAATTGCTCATGATCAACGTGCAAAAGAACAATTCATAAAGGTTGGAGACACTGTTCTAGTTAAAAAGAAAAAAAGAGGGAAAGATAGATATGCCGTATGATACAAAACCATATAAAGTGATTAGTGTAAAATGAACTATGGTAACAGCGAGTAATAGAGATCATAGTATAACACGTAATATGGCTTATTTCAAAGTGATTCCAACTAGTGTAGAAAATGATGAAGTGCAAAGTCGTACAAACGAAAAAGAAAAAATGAGTTATAACCCGACAAACAATTCATCAAGGGATATTATTGTATTTGGGGACTCTCGTCCTAAACGTCATGTTAAACGCCCTACACGATTTGATGATTAATTGTGTTCCTATGTAATGCAAAGTGTTTACTTATTATGCTAAACTAAATTTAGTATTGTTTGAATAATGCAGATCTCTCATTCAATATTTTGTTGCTCTGTATTACAGTTTCTTTCATGTTTGTTTAACATTGCATATGTATTTTTAACATTGAAATCCTATGTGTAAAGATTAAGTTGTTTAAATTGTTTGTGTGCTTAATTAATGTTAAATGTATGCAATATCTCTTGATATGTTAATAACTTACTTTGTGTCAATAACTTTGCTTTGTGCTACAAGCATGGTAGACATCCTGTATTCATTCTTTTTAAAGAAAAGGAGGGATGTCATGTTCACAGAAAACGATACCATCCGTTTTCTATGTACGGCGGCTCAGACGCCACGGGTAAACAAAAGAGCGTACAGGACGTTACCAGCTTGGAAGCAGCTAGTCATGTAATCGTTTATAAGTATTAAAGTCAGTAACCAAGCCATGACTTTATATCAACCCTACAACCAAGACTTCCTCAGTAACACACAAAACCACAGTAATGATGATGGAGTTACAAGATAAAAGCTAGATGGTGTTGAGATTGCAAAGTCGGATTGCGAAAGGGATCTGGGAGTTATGATTAGTAAGAATTTAAAAGAAAAAATCCTTGCATAAATGTTCGTAATAAGGCAAATAAGACACTAAGATTTATTAATTGAAGAGTTAGTAACAAGACACCTGTTCTTCGGCTATATCTTGCTCTGGTTAGGCCCCATTTAGATTATGCAGTTCAATTTTGGTCGCCGAACTATAGAATGAATATAAATTCATTTGAACGTGTCCAGCGTTGGATGACATAGTTAATCCCACAAGTTACAATCCTGCCATATGAAGAAAGATTAACAAAGCTTTAATTGCATTCACTAGAAAGGCGAAGAGTTAGGGGTGACATGATAAAGGTTTGCAAGTGGATGAATTGACATAACAAAGGGGATATTAATTGGGCATTAAGGGTAACAACACAAGAAAGAACACGAAACAATGGGTACAAACTTGATAAGTTTAGATTTGGAATGACCTGGGTAAATACTGGTTCAGTAAGAGGTTTGTTGATATGTGGAACCAGATGCCACTTGGCATGGTGGAGGTTGGAGTCCCTTGAGTGTTTCAAGCGTGGGTTGGACATGTATATGAGTGGGATTGGGTGGTTAGAAATGGAGCTGCCTCGTATTGGCCAATAGGTCTTCTGCAGTTACTTTTATTCTTATGTTCTTATGTAATGAATTTGATAAGATCAACATTGCAAGAAACCATGTTGAGAGCCCATTTTCAGGCCATGAGTCAATGTGGGTTTTAATATTCTTGTTGGTGTTTCTAATTAGTGTGCATTCTACAAAGTGTACAAAATGCATACCCATTATTTCGCATCTCTACAACTTCCTACTATAAAACGGCCTTAGTTTATTGCAAAGTGTCAAATTTTATCTTGGTAACGTCAACTTGGTAAGTTGATGTATGCATTATTGGGGTGGTTTATAACGGTTGGACTATACATTGTGTGAACAAATTAAATAATCAACCGAAAAGAAACCAACTAGAATAACAATTAATTAACGTCAATAAGCATGTGCCGTAAGCTTCAGATGCACTCACCAGCTGCCAAAATAGCGAAGATCCCCCACATTTGGAGGATGTGGAGTGGGGACGGGGGTCGCTGCCCGTCCTCCTGGCCTGGAGGAAGGCTGCACACTGTTCCATTGTCGACCTGCCTCTTAACCAGCTGCTCCACCCACCCTCTCTCCTGCAGTTGCCGCAGCCTGCATCACCATCACTCATTAGCTCATTTTACATCCAATCGTGTGAATGATATTTATTAATTCACAATTAATTAATTAATTTAGTTTAGTGGTAAATAAAAAATGGGAAAGTAGCTAGGTTTCGTGGTAATGGACTGATGACATATTTACAAATCAGAGATAGTGAATGGCTAAGAAAGGTTAACATGTGATAATAAGGGAAAACAAGGAGAACACAAGCACAAACAGAAAATAACAATTGAAATACGACCAACCAGAAGTTGAAGTTATTGGTGAACGGTGATCCCTTCTTCATGACCATTGTGTAGGAGTGGGTGACGATGTTCTCCCTCGGACTGAAGAACTCGCACCGCCCGGACTCCGAGAAGCTCTTGGCCACCATCATGTCCCCGGCCAGAACGTCGCACAGACCTACGCCAGCGCGCCAACGGCTGGTCGTTACTCTCTCACTCCTCATGCTATATTATAACTCTACCACCATAATCCTATATTTACGACCAAAGATCACATTCCCTCCTAAAAATCTACCACTTACGGGCTACTCATGCCCGTGCCACCTCTTAGATGGCTTAATCATCATCATCATCGCCGTATAACAGAGACTGAGCGCCATCTACGTAGAACTTGGTGGTGGTGCTGCTTGTTCCGCGACGCTCAGCAATGATATGTATCAACAACAGATTTGTGCACGAATTTTAGCCTGTACGGGTCCCAATTCCCAACAACACTCGGTGACCATTTTATGCTCAGATATTTCATCAAAGCACCTCACATGAAGGGGCCACGTCAGGCCCCTGGATGTTTTGATGAAATATTTGTTGCCAAAAAGGTCCCCGAGAGTTGTTGGGAATTGGTTAAGGGTCTGACAACTTTCAATTCTCTTAACAGTCGTCATAGCTTAATTGTGAAATTACTGGACACGCTAAGGTGCATGAAGCCCCTGGGTGTGAGGGTTGGAATCCTTCTGGAGTGAGAAGTTTTCTGATTATTTATATATATATATATATATATATATATATATATATATATATCTATATATATATATATATATATATATATATATATATATATATATATATATATATATATATATATATATATATATATATATATATATATATATAATCCCTAATCTAAAGAGAATACTGGACAAGATTGACAAGATTGACGCCCATGATGCTCTCTTCCTCCTCACAAGATGCCTATCTCTCCCTAAGTTGACTTACTTTCTGAGGTGTTCTCCATCCTGCAGCAGCCCTAAATTAAATGTGTAAGACAGCCTTCTGAGGTCCATGCTGGTGAAAGTTCTGAACTTGCCATTGGACGACTCTCAGTGGGAGCAAGCAACCCTCCCCGTAAGACTCGGCGGCCTTGGTGTCCGCACAGCCTCCCAGATTGCTCTATCAGCCTTCCTTTCCACCTCCCATGCATTGCACGATCTCGTAAGAGATATCCAACCTGAATTGCTAAGCAATTCAGCAGGAATACACGATCTTGCTTCCACTGAATGTTCAAATCAGTGGAATGCTCTTGCAGCCCCAGCACGCATCATAGAACCAACAAAAAACTTAAACAGTCCAGCTGGGACCACCTGCTAGTAGAAAAAATAGCTGGTGCCATGCTCAGAGCTGCAACATCAGAAAAGGAGAAAGCCAGCCTCAGAGCAGTACCTGCCCCCCATGCAGGAGACTTCCTCCTGGCAGTACCCATGTCGGCAATGGGCACGCGTCTAGATCCAGAATCCCTTCGTGTAGCAGTGAACCTCTGCCTTGGTGCCACGATTCAAACTGAATTCAAGTGTATTTGCAACAGTGTGGAAGCAGACTAATATGGACTGCATGGGTTGCATTGCGGAAGCACAAAGGGCTGGCATGCGAGACACAACGAAGTCAATGACCTCTTCAAGAGGAGCCTCGTCTCAGCTCAGTGCCCAGCGGAAAGAGAACCTCACATCCTAGAGGACCAAAACCCCGATTTTCCCACACTTCGCCCCGATGGCATCAGCACATACTCCTGGAAGGGGAACAGACACTTGGTTCGGGACTACACGTGTGTGTATCCACCCTGGATGACACCTATGTAAACTTCGGTGCTGATCAAGCAGGTGGGGCGGCCAACCACAGGGGAAATAGCAAAATCAGTCAAATACAGGCGATTGGAAGGTCAATACACCTTTGTTCCCATAAAGACTGAGACCCATGGCCCCTGGGGCAAGAGTGCCTTGGGATTTCTCAAGGAATTGGGCTCCAAGCTCATTGACGTGTCCAGGGGACCCAAGAGCTGCCAGTTTTTTCTTTCAGCGCCTCAGTGTGGCGATCTAGAGGGGAAACGCCTGCTGCATCCTCGGTTCCCGTCATAAAGCGGAGGCGCTTCAAGAAATCCATAACCTTTAAGCACTCTTTGTATCAAACAATGTATATCTTGTAACCTTTAAACATATAATGAAGCAAAAAAAAATCAAAGGAAGTGGGTGGTAGGAGAAAAGAACACAGAAACTGTATTGGAGGGGACCTAAACATTCCCTCTAATGCGTTATGTGTGGTTTCCTTCGAGGGAAAGGGGCCCCCTTCTTCCAGCCAGAGGTGTAATCCTTTCCCTTTAAAAAAAAAAAAACATATACACACACACACACATATATATATATATATATATATATATATATATATATATATTATATATATATATATATATATATATATATATATGAAAATGAAAACTCACACCCCAGAAGTGACTCGAACCCATACTCCCAGAAGCACGCAACTGGTACTACAGGGCGCCTTAATCCGCTTGACCATCACGGCCGTCAAAGGAAGTGATAGCCGAGGCTATTTGAGCCACTTCCCCGACGGCAACTCGGATGGTAATCTTGGGCATAGCATTTCACCAAATCACCTCATTCTTTGGGGCACACGTGAGGAACACAAATGCGAACAAGCCTGAATGGTCCCCAGGACTATATGCGAATGAAAACTCACCACCCAGAAGTGACTCGAACCCATACTCCCAGAAAGCAACGCAACTGGTAACTACAGGGCGCCTTAATCCGCTTGACCATCACGGCCGTCAAAAGGAAGTGATAGCCGAGGCTATTTGAGCCACTTCCCCGACGGCAACTCGGATGGTAATCTTGGGCATAGCATTTCACCAAATCACCTCATTCTTTGGGCACACGTGAGGAACACAAATGCGAACAAGCCTGAATGGTCCCCAGGACTATATGCGAATGAAAACTCACACCCCATAAGTGACTCGAACCCATACTCCCAGAAGCAACGCAACTGGTAACTACAGGCCGCCTTAATCCGCTTGACCATCACGGCCGTCAAAAGGAAGTGATAGCCGAGGCTATTTGAGCCACTTCCCCGACGGCAACTCGGATGGTAATCTTGGGCATAGCATTTCACCAAATCACCTCATTCTTTGGGCACACGTGAGGAACACAATTCATTCGCATATAGTCCTGGGGACCATT